GTTTGGGAAAATTTTTTGTTGTTGTTTTGTTTTTCCACATCCCTTGGGGGGCAGGGGGGGGATACCCCGGGGGGGTGACCCGGGACCCCCCCCCCCCCCCCCTCAACTTCGTGTAGTTGGTGCTCCGTTGACTTCCGATGTCGGACGGACAAACGCTTTCGCACTCCTGCACATTCATTCTGTTGGTAGCTTGCGGTGCGATGTTAAGATCAAGCGTGCGTGCCATCCGGCACGGCTGTGGTGGGCCCTCTTAGTTTGTTATTGTAGTAGTACACTTTATCTTTTAATTGCGAAGCTACTGCTGTTGAAAGACAAAACAAAAAACGCTAGATACTGTATTCAATCGTCAAGTGACCACATGCTTGCCGAAGCGAACAGTTCGCCGCGTTCGATACAGCGGCCACACGACCTTAAAAAAAAAAAACACACCCCAACTAAGAAAATGCACAAGGAGAGCAGCGAGACACACAACACGGACGTTGTATGGACCATACAACTTTACAAGCTGGGAGTTACCTCCAAAAATAAACACACTACGTTTCCAGAAAATGCACGATTTTTTGCAACGAGACACACAACACGGACGTTGTATGGACCATACAACTCTACAAGCTGGGAGTTACCTAAAAACAAAAAACACACTACGTTTTGTTTGGGGTGCTCGGCAGAGTATACTGTCTACGGGGCCTCCGGGGGGTACGCGGATGAAATGTGTTGATGGGCATGCTGCATGGCGATGGTGTTGCCTACCGCATGTCTCTCACTCTCTAATCAACCAAGGTCTTGAGTCAACCTTTCTCTTTCGGCCTCTGACGGGCTACCGCACCCAAACACAATATACTGTATGGCCTGGTGTTGGTAGTGGGTATTGGCGTCTGAGCTGTATGTGCCGGGCCAATGGGGCGGCGAATACGATATATATAGCTAAGCTGGGACGTGGCCAACGGGGACGGGACAGCACGGCAGCGGGTAGTGTATAGCTGGGACGGTGGCCATCGGGGACCGGGACAGCAGGGGGTGTATTGCTGGGACAGCGCTTCAGGGCTGGCACAGCAGGATACGGGATATTTTTCAAGTGTAGACTATGGCGGAGAGAAGCGGCGTAATAGGAAGAGATTCGCAAAGGGAGGAGACTACAGTTGTGCGCATCAAGATGGAGGAGAGGTCGTGCAACGCAGCAGAGATGCTACGAGCTGCCGAGTCGGAGGTGGAGAGGCTGGTGAAGGTGCTCAGAGCTGCGGAGGCTGCCGAGTATCAGAAGGAGAGACTTAGGCGGCAGCAACAACAACAACAACAGCAGCAGCAGCGATGGAGTGCTCAATGGCAGCAGCAGCCATCGCAGGTACAGCAGTGTTCTCGTGGTGGTTTTGTCCCTCAGCAGAACCAACACTGCGTTTTCACTCAGAGCCACCAGGCGCGGCAGCACCAGCAGTTGGCGCGGCAGCAACAGCAGCTGCCGCCAACCGGAGTTGGTGGGATATATGACTGCGGGAGAAACGCCGTGTATTTCCAGCAGGAATCACCCCCTCCGCCTGGTACGGTATACCATTGCACTCGGTGCGGCAGGAACGGCCACCACGACGAAGAATGCGCCGCACCCCGCAGGTTCGAGGGTACGTGCGGCGCCTGTGGTCAGTTCGGCCATATGTGGCGGAACTGCGCCGTGCATCTTCATGGCAGCAGCGGCGAGGATGACGGCCGTATCGTCCGCGGTGGTTGCTGGATGGGCGTCAATGGCGGCGTCAGCTGCATGGACATCGGTGGAAGCTCGGTCGTACAGCAGCAGGTGGTGGTAGAGAGCGAGTACCGCTCTGATTTTGTCGACCTGGTTCACGTTGGCGGCGAGGTGATGGCCGAGAGCGAGTACCGCTCTGATTTCGTCGACATGGTTCACGCTGGCGGCGCTGTGAACGGTGATGATGGCGGATGGTTTGGATGGAATGATTCTGTGGACATAGTTCACGCTGGTGGCAGTGTCTGCGATGATGTTTTCCCCGCTGCTGGGGCGGGGGAAATGGCCGGAGCACCTGCGTTGGCGACTGGAGCGGCGGCATCGGCAGCAGCTCCAGCGGCGACGGCGGCGACCTCTGGCGGCAGTGTTTTCCCCGCGGCGGCGGCGGCGGGGGGAACGGCCGGGGTCCCCGCGGTGGCGGCAGGAGCGGCGGCATCGGCGGCAGCTCCAGAGGCGACGGTGGCGACCTACGGCGGCGGTAGTGTTTCCCTCGCAGTGACGGCGGCGGGGGGAATTGCCGGGGTCCCTGCAGTGGCGGCAGGAGCGGCGGTATCGGCAGCAGCTCCAGAGGCGACAGTGGCGACTTACGACGGCGGTAGTGTTTCCCTCGCAGCGACGGCGGAGGAAGCGCCCGGAGGGCTCGCGGTGACAGCTGGAGCAGCGGCATCGGCGGCGGTTCCCGCGACGACGGCGGCGGTGCCCGGCGACACTGTTATCTCCGCGACGGTGGCGGGTAGAACGACCGGAGCGCCCGCGTTGGTGGTTGGAGCGTCGGTATCGACGGCGGTTCCAGCGGCGACGGCGGCGGCACCCGACGGTGTTGTTTCTCCCGCTGCGGCGGCGGGGAAAATGGCTCGAGAACCCGCGCAGGTGGCTACAGTGGCGGCATCGGCGGCTGGAATGGCGACGTCGGTGACGGCACCACCCGCGACCGCGGCGACGGCACCGGCCGCTACGATGGCGACCGTCGGTGACGTTTCCCCCACCATATCGGTTGGGGGGGCGGCCAGCAACGGAGAAGCGGTGGTCAACGGCATCGGCGACGGCAGCGATGATGGCGGTTGGTGCGCAGGTGAGGGTGATGGCTGCTGGGATGACAGCGTCTGTGGCGAGAGGGGGGCGTCCACGGGGGCGTCCACGCACCCTTTCGATCCCGGCACCATGTGTTCGGGGGTGCGCGGCGCCAACTATCCCGGGGTGGACGACCTGGCCGATGGCTCCAGCAGCGGCAGCAGCAGCAGCAGCAGCAGCAGTAGCAACGACGAGGCTGAGGGGATGGATGTGCCCTGGTTTGGGGCACTGCTGCGCCCCTTCGACCCGGGGAAGCTGTGCCGGCTGAAGGCTGGGAGAGTGGGGCCGGTGATGGGGATGGACACCCCGTTCGACCGTGGAAAGATGTCGCGGGGGCAACGGCCGGGGAGCCCGTGATCGCGACCGGAACAACGACAGGAGGATCATGAAGCGGGGAAGGGAGTTCGGAGGACCGGGCGAGTCCAACAATGACGGCAAGCAGCGCGACTTCTGCTGGGGTCTTAAACTCGCCAAGGCACGTGATGTTTGTTTGCGTATTCTTGTCATTTTTCTATTATTTGTTGTGTGCAGGATGTTGTTCTTGTGTTTTGATCTTCAGATACAATGCTGCACTTTTCATCGTTGTTTGAATGTCTGCAAATCACTTTTCCTATCGTTGGCGCATTCGCAGGTTTGGATTTGCTTTGGTTTTGTTCTGTAGAGATGTCCACTCGCGTTTTACCTTGCAGGGACACTAATTTCTACGGCCCAATGGCAGGAAATTTCGGTAGATTACTGTTGTTTTTCTGAGAGACAAATGGAATGTTGCGGCCGGGGGGCTGTTGTTTGCCAAGACAATATCTCAAATGGCGGTGGTAGTATTATTTCTGCATACATTTTGTTCCACTTTGGTTTTCCTTCTTTGTTGGGATAACATTCTCTATGGTAGTTACCACTATGTTTTTCTGATGGTACTGGATATATGTAGTAGGCGTTGGCTTGGCGTTCGACGTGCTGGGCAAAGACGTTGGGGGGCACGCACCGTTCCTCGGTCCCCCCGATGTACCGGTACCCGATGAGTCAATCCTTGCGGAATACCAATTTCCTTTCCAAGTAGGCCTGTACGGCAGGCTGGTATGCGCTGGACGTGTGACGCCTTTTCTTTGATATGTTTTGTTTTCTTGTTTCGGTTTGGAGTTGATGAAGTTGGATGCAGAATTGGCATGCTGGATTTTGCGGAATCACGCCTGATTGTTGCACTCCTGTCGGAAATCATGGGGGGGGGAATGTGATACCATGCTGTCCGCAGCAGCACAACAAGCAGTGTTTCTAATGTGATACCATGCTGGCCGCCGCAGCACAACAAGCAGTGTTTCTGACATCGGGTGGTAGTTCATGTTGAGATTTTCCGTGTTTTCAGGAAGGTTTGTTCGTCGAAGCAGATAGAATAAACTGGTGTTTATTTTGTAACAGTCGAATTAGAATTTGGCTTCATTTTCTACCGGAAACCCAGGGTCACGGTGTTTGGAATTATTAGTCTATAGTTGGGGGTGTCATTCCGTGATCGAGTCCACGCAGGGGCTGTAGCAAAGTCGGGTAACGGGTGACAGCTACAGAGCGCGTGAAGCAACGGAAGGACAGCAGCAGGCGCCTAACGCAGTAGCGGCGGCAGTTTAGAAAAGGGCGGGACGGGACACGGCGCAAGCATTGGGGAAGTGACCAGCACGCGACTCTCCATATAAAGGTGTGTACTCGTGTCCAACATCCATCGTGTCGGCCGTGTTCCTATTCGCGTCCCGCTACTCTTGTGACCTCACCGCTGCGTGCATTTAGCACGAGGGGGGAGGGTGCAGTAAGATAAGCGGCGGCAAGCCAACGCAGTCTCGCTCGCCGCGCCGCTCAGATAGGTCCCTTCCCAAACATGGGATGCGGTTCATCCCAACCGAGACGTACTCTCGCTGAAGAAAAAAAATGCGGTTCGTCCCAACCAGACGTACTCTCTCTGAAGAAAAAATTCAACGGCAAAAAGAAAGAGCGGGGCCTGTTGTATGGTCGCACGCTGACTTGTCGCGGTTGATAGCAGCCATTGTACTGCACGGGGTGGAGGAACCCTGCGGCATCGGACATAACCAATCGACCCGCGGCAGTAGGGCATGATGCTGTCACGATTATGCACATGAGGCAGGTGCCTTGTTTTCTGTTTCCCCCGGCTTACTAGGGACTACTTGCCGGTACAATCTTGTCTGTGCCGCGCACAGAGGGGCATATAGCTGAAGGAATCGACGATAATATGCCCACTCACGTAAGCAATCGTCTCCACGGATGGTATTGACAAGTCCCCACTGATGGTATCGACAAGTCCCATGGCATACAAAGCGGCCGCATACGTAATCGGAAAGTGCATTCAACAGCATTCACGGGAACGGATAAAAGCAAAAACACATGCATGCGAGAGAAAGACTCAAAGAAAAAGACTGAAAAACAATGAAGACGAGAAAAAAAAAACGAGACAGCGAACTACGTGCTGTATGCATAAGGAAAAAGAAGATGAGAAAAAAAATAGGGGGGGGAGGTGGATGTGACACGCGAGGTTCGAACTCGCGAGGAACGTCAGGTAGCGGTCCATGTGAGTGCATCACGGTCTCGAGGGGCATCACGTCAAATTTATTGCCGCCGTGACACAAACCTTCTATAAGAATACGTCACGTCCATCGACGATTAAGCGACCAAAAACGCCCGGACAGCAATTGATGCATGCCAAAAACTCGTCAACCTGCCGTAGGATTGTCTATGCGGAAGTGATCTCAATGAAAATAAAAAAAAACAAGGACACGCACCAGCACGGGACGCGCCAATAGTGGAAGCACTCGTCCGTGCTGTTGGCGAGTGGAAGTTAACCGATCTCAACGCAACGAAACACGAAGTCATACATGTATCAGCACGGGATGCGCCAATGAGTGGAAGCACCCGCGCTGTTGGCGAGTAGAGTTAACCGAATTCAACGCAGCGGTAGAAAAATACCACAAATCATGCATCAGTACGGGACGCGCCAATGAGTGGAAGCACCCGTGCTGCATATGTGATGTCAGCCTCAGCACGGGACGCGCCAATGAGTGGAAGCACTCGTGCGGTTGGTGAGTAGAGTTAACCGATCTCAAAAAGAAAGAACAAAACGCCGTACATGTATCAGCACGGGACGCGCCAATGAGTGGAAGCACCCGCGCTGTTGGCGAGTAGAGTTAACCGAATTCAACGCAGCGGTAGAAAAATACCACAAATCATGCATCAGTACGGGACGCGCCAATGAGTGGAAGCACCCGTGCTGCATATGTGTTGTCAGCCTCAGCACGGGACGCGCCAACGAGTGGAAGCACTCGTGCTGTTGGCGAGTAGAGTTAACCGATCTCAAAAAGAAAGAACAAAACGCCGTACACGTATCAGCACGGGACGCACCAATGAGTGGAAGCACCCGCGCTGTTGGCGAGTAGAGTTAACCGAATTCAACGCAGCGGTAGGAAATACCACAAATCATGCATCAGTACGGGACGCGCCAATGAGTGGAAGCACCACGTGCTGTATATGTGTTGTCAGCCTCAGCACGGGACGCGCCAACGAGTGGAAGCACTCGTGCTGTTGGCGAGTAGAGTTAACCGATCTCAAAAAGAAAGAACAAAACGCCGTACACGTATTAGCACGGGACGCGCCAATGAGTGGACGCACCCGTGCTGTTGGCGAGTAGAGTTAACCGAATTCAACGCATCGAAAACGAAGTCGTACACGTATCAGTACGGGACGCGCCAATGAGTGGAAGCACCCGTGCTGCATATGTGTTGTCAGTTTCAGCAAGGGACGCGCCAATGAGTGCTGTTGGCGAGTAGAGTTAACCGATCTCAAAAAGAAAGAACAAAAACGCCGTACACGTATCAGTACGGGACGCGCCAATGAGTGGGCGCACCCGTGCTGTTGGGCGAGTAGAATTAACCGATCTCCACGCATCGAAAACGAAGTCATACACGTATCAGTACGGGACGCGCCAATGAGTGGAAGCACCCGTGCTCATATGTGTTGTCAGTTTCAGCAAGGGACGCGCCAATGAGTGGAAGCACCCGCGCTGCGTACAAGTATCATCAGTGCGGGTCGCGCCAATGAGTGGAAGCACCCGTGCTGCATATGTGTTGTCAGTTTCAGCGAGGGACGCGCCAATGAGTGGAAGCACCCGCGCTGTTGGCAAGTGGAGTTCACCGTATCCAACGCATCGAAAAAAAAAAAAAAACACGTATCAGCACGGGACGCGCCAATGAGTGGAAGCACCCGTGCCGATGGCGAACCGGGGTTCACCGAATCCAAGAAAATATATATATAAAAAAAAAAAAAAGAGAAACCATCG